CGAGCAGTTTCCAAGCCACTAAATCATATCACGTTACTAGAGATTGATGTTATGTCATTGAGCAAAAATGATGTACCTAACATTGTATATAACTTACTAATTAGACATACCTCAAATGGTATGTATTTGTTTTATTGACTGATATCTTTTTTTTTTTTGTATATCTTTTTTTTCCTCTTACATTGGTGTTGCTTACCTTGTAGGGGTACCAAGCCCTGGTCAAGCAGCGGAGAACAGGTTTTTCCTTTGGATTTCCCGCTCATTGTGGATGGAAATAAAGCAATGTTTCAAGGCCCACCGTCGTTCCAAATGTCCGGCATCCAATGTGAAATGTTTCAACTGTAGCAACCGTATTTGCGAGGCTGTGCAAGAGACCACAGCAGGGTCACCAGGATAGACGGTCGTCAGTCCAGCAGGTTAGCAACACCCGGTTTCTCGACTCTATTGGCAAGCCGGACGGGAAGAAAGTAACTCTTATTGGTGTGCCCTTGCCAGCCAAGATCGACTCCAGTGCCCAAGGATTGGTGGCGCCAGCATCCTTCCGCGTCGTCTCGAAAAGGCAGACAAAATTTTGACGGGCCCCAACGGACAGCCATAAGTTTCGCAGTAAAACAAACCAGTGTCGCCATAGGCCAGGAACGTGGATTGAAGAGCTCATATGTGAACCAATGCTGCTCTGCACGTAGCCCCATATGAGGATCGCATCTGCTGCGTTGCGACTCGGTTTTCAAACGAAGCTTGCCAACCCCCAGACATGTCCCATAGGGCCAATGGAGTCGACTTTTGTACAGCAGCGCCAAATTCCTCTTCCGTAATGGTCTCAGGAACGACCAAACGACGCGCAGCGATGCAACCTTTACAATGGGCGCATTAAGTCTGCACTTTTTTCCTCCTACTCCGACGCTCCGAGTCTCATACTCCGAGCGCAGCAACTAAACGACAGATGGCGTACGGGACCCAGCTGAAAATTCCCATTAGATCCAATTGGAATTCTAACTGTTTTTAATTGGAACCAATTGGTTTTAGTGGGTTTCAACTGGAAGCACACTGGCCAATGGGTCTCACCAATTGGAAAAAAATTTCCAGTTGGAATCTTAATAGGTTCCAATTGGTTCCCATTGCAGTGACCAATTGTTTGTCCCATAACCTAGCTGGTACCAATTGGAAATTCCAATTGGAATCTAATGGGAATTTTCAACTGGGGAGCGCGACACACCGAGGCTGCGTTCCAAACCTACTCAAATGGACCCGAATTACCCTGGCGGATTATGTCACATGACAACAAAAATAGAGAAACACTGGACGCGGGTAGGTTTTCGAAAACCACCTTTACCTTAGAGTTAGATTGAGTAAGTTTTGGAACACGGCCAGAAACTATCGACGAGCCACACACGCTCCTTCCGACCGTGGATACGGGTGGCAGAAGCCGAAAATATTTCGAAGATAAATAATTAGGCCCGTATGGCGCAGCAGAGTCTAAAGCAAAAGAGACGTCGATGTTATGAAGTTTCTACAAACGTTTTAATATTCCTGAAAGGTTTGAAGACTAACATTGTGCCCACATGTGGATGGTTACCTTGGCCAATCTATTTATTGACTATGCATGCTGTTCCGATTTAAATTAAAGACAACGTTCTAGAACCTGCTCGTCGACGCAGGAAACCTTCAAATTTATCAGAGATTCCGTGGCTCTGTCGGTTCCGTCTCGCAGCGAGACGGAAGCTACGCCAATACCGGCACACTGTCGTTCGATAGCACGTCAATTGGTTTTAGGCGGTATACATGAACAAACCTTTCCCGCAACGCTAACTGGTGTTTCGGCTTTCCAATCTAAGTATCTTTATTCGCTGCGCCTGGGCTAAGCATTCTAAGCGAGGCAGCGGTCTGACTGTCTTTTCATCAGAACTTTTCTGTCGCCGAGCTATCGGCACGCTCGTTCAATGGATCAATTCATTTCCAGGCAAGACGCACGAACAACACTTTTCCTCAACGCTCACTGAGGCTTTCAAATCAAAGTATTTTTATTCATTGGGTTAAGCAACTATTCCGTCGCTGTGCTATCTGCACGCTACCGTTGGATAGATGAATTTGTTTTTCAGGCGAGATGCACGAACAAACCTTTTTCGGAATGCTAATTGCTGTCTTGGCTTTCAAATCAAATTGTTTTTACCTGCTGGATTAAGCACGAATCAACTGAAAAGGGGCGCGGTCCGGCTACCCCTTTTGTCTCGACAGCAGCGCAGCCATCTTGTTTGTTTACGTGACGACACGGAGCGCGAAGAAGTCACTCGCGCTCCAAGAAATTCTCGGTGCACATAGAGCGCGCTCGAGTGTCCGTCTCCGGTGGCTTTTGCCTGTCCGTTTAGTGAAAGGAGCGCCAAACTCTCGCGCTCCGGAGCACGGACTTAATGCACCCATTGGTTACAATGTTGGGAGAGAGAAGCAGGGTCGGGCGACCTGACAGCTCACGCAAAAGCCATCCAGTCGTTTGATGGTTTTGTTTTCAGACCAAAAGAAACACAAACGGAAACAAAATTATTAAATAAATCATGTAGCATTTTCACGACGTGCCAAACACATTTCATAGAAATACATGAAAAAGTTTAATATTTTCGTTTTTAGTTTAATGAGAGTGCCCCAGCACCAAAGCGCAGCTGCCGGTGGCGACGCTATTGAGAGCGCCGCTGATGTTGGCGATGCTAATGTCGACACCCCGATATTCCGACTGTGACCGGGGGTTGGCTCAGGAGTTTCGGTACTCTATGGAAACATAGTGACTCTAGCGTCACCTAGCGGTAGGGCTTATCAGTACCTACTGAAGTAGTGCTGCCAAACCGAGCCAATTCATGTGGAGCCAACGTAGAACCTAAAATTGCAGCTTTTCGGTGGTGTTTCCCGCTGACGGTTCGCAACAATTTTGCCCGAAAAATACAACTTTCAGACTCGAAGCTCTCCGAAAAATTGGTCGTGAATTTTCACTATTAATATCAGGTAGCTAACGGTTCCTCCTTTAGGTCCAAAATATCCAAAAAGTCTGAATTATCGGCGTCCGAGAAATCAGTCGGTGACTATGTATACAGTCGAACCCAGATATACTGAATTCAAAGGGGATTGTAAAATAGTTTGATATGTCGATAATTTGATATAAAAAAATATGTTAACTTAAGCTCCAGTTGAAATTTCTGCACGTCTCTGCTAATACTGAAGGCCGCGACAAACGGGACCTTACCAAATAGAGCCTCTAAGAGCCGCTAAATACAGTAGAACTTAGTTGATAAAGATCACAAACACCGCTGCATTTAGGTCATGGTGTTTGGGGTCGTTTAATCGTTTACGTTTGGCCACAACCTCCACACAGCGCCAGCAACACAACCCAAAATAATTTTAAAAAATGAAAGAACGGAAAAAGCGAGCCACATTAAAAAAGAAAAAGAAACTCTCGATTCATAGCATAAAGTAAGCAAGAAAAAAGAAACCTCACTAAATTCGGGCAGCAAAAAAAGAAAGGCAAAAAAAGAAAAAAACGGGCAAAGCAAAAACGGTGAAAGAGAGGGGTAAACAAAGATAAGGCGTTCAAAGTGCAATTGCTCAACCGCTGCTGTCGGCACACTCAACTTGACGAAGACTTTTGTTTTTTGCTCATTTTGCTTTGGGGCTAAGGAGTTGAATAGTTACAGCGGTGTTCGGGGAAAGAGCGCACGCTGCCCTTCCAACAATGGGCCCTGCCCTCCCTAAGCACATGTGCACATGCCCTCCCTTTGCTTTTGCAATCCTCCACTTTTTTTATGGTTGTTTTTTTTATTACAATTGCCCTTTCGCTGTGTATCCCCGTGCGTAGGGTGCCTCCATATCCGAAGGCACCCTACACATAAACACGAAGGCACTCTACCCGCACGCGTATGCTGGCTTGGCGGTCTGCCAGGCCCACAACGCAAGCTATGTGCTCGCCGCGGGCGCAATCCGACCACGGAAGAAGCGACAGGTGGCTGTGCTTAGTTCGCTATATCAAGCGTCCCCGCAATGGAAGTTCGATACAGAAAGACAATGCTCCTATACTATTACATGTGATTTTCAAGGGGATGTTTGGACTGTTTGATATAAACAAAAATTTGAAATACCCGTGCGTGATATAACTGGGCTCGACTGTACAATAGCAACGAAGACAGGACGGTCAATTGTAGGCCCAAGTTTTAACTTTCACGCCACAGTATTATCACAAGTGCATTGTAGAGTGTGTGTCTGCTCAACTTTGAAACAAATGAATGGAAAATCTGCTAGCAACAGCAAAGCAAACCGTGCGGACGGGGACTGGATGGGCTCAAACGAGTGAGGCATCATAGCCACAAAGCCATGATTACTTTCTGGTTTAGTCACAAAGGCTGTTATACTGAGATCTGTCTTCATTGTACAATGTTTCCCTAAGCACACCCCTTCAACTGAGACAACGCCACAGCAAAAGTTGGCAAGATGCGGGCATGGTCCATAGCCAAAAAATTCAAAGTCAACGGAATTGATATGTCTATCCAGTTCACTTTAGTCTCCAAATATAACAGAAACTATATGCTCCCTCTCTGCAAAATCTATCCGGAATAGGTGGTGCAGGAAACAATTATTCATGATGGAGCGGGTGTAAATATGTTGTGTTCCTTGCGCACCTATATTATGCAGGCTAGATCATTTCTAAGCTGTCTAGAATGCGATATTCAATTTTTGTTACTTTCGTTAGGACTACTGCAGGAAGTAGCAATCACCGAAACGAGCAAACAGATGGCGGCACTAGTCAAAATCCACAGCGGAAAAAACTGAGAAATTTTTATATCGTCATCCCTCAAGTGGAACCACCTATCAGTCCCTACTGTTCCCGCCGCACATTTTTAGCAAAGTGTTAGCTAGTCCCAATTTGTTTTCTATTTCTTTCTTTCCACATGCACTCGCAGTTTTGAGAATAAACAAATAAAATAGGGTTTTCAAGAAAGAGCAAGTTGCTGGGACATGCTTACTTGTTTCCCCGCTTCCTTGTCAGAAGAAGGAGCTGGGAGAGCAGCTTTATCACGAAAGCTCCCGATCCCTGCTTGACGAGCAGGGAAAGGAGCCAGCCAACGGCCACGCATGCCAAGTGCTCCAATTGTGCCGTGGGGTCAGTCATCCGCTCGGCCAGCGACAGGGCCCCCATGGACGCCTCCAGCCGCTTGGAATCTGTCGCCATGACTGGGACGCGTAAAAGCAATCAGGCAGAGCTATACCGCGAGAAACCTACTGCCCCAACCCCAAAGATAATCCACCCCCGTTTTTGGCAGACAACTTGGTAATTTATTTTAAAAAAAATACCCCTAAAGGCCCTCTGTATAGGGGCATTACATGGGGGGGGGGGGGGGGGGGGCAAGCAAATACAGTGTAGACCGCATATAACGTATGTCGCGGGAGTCGCGAAAATCCGCACTATAAGCAGTACCGCGCTATAACCAAAACAACAATTTTTCAGGCCAAAATACATGCCATGAGACAACTTACCTTTGTAAAACAATTTATTTTATATTAGATGAAAAATAAAGCTTAGTTTGAGGAAAGTCTTTATTTCACCAGACTAGTACACTTCTCTCTCGAGTGTGTCATACATATTGAAAGAAATGAGCGACTATTGCCTGGCGCAGCCTTTTAACGGCATCGCGGGTTGCGGACAGACAGTGCGAGCATTCAGGATTGCTAACCCTAATCACATTTCTCCGGCGATGAAAACACGTGAAAATTCGCATCCTTTATCCGGTACGTGCCAGTAATACCTTCAACTTTAGCACAGGCATGAAATGCTCCAAATAAGAAATCCGGGCGATGTTCGAAAACACAAATGCTTAGAAAGCACCACTGTAGTCGAAGTAAACAAACACGACGACACGGGCGTTTCTGCCGTCTTGAGAGTGCCGCCACAACATCGCCGCACGAGTAGGTGGATCTTCCCTTCTAGTACGTGCTGGGTTATCATAGCGACACAACGAAATTTCACAGTCAAGGATAGCGCTTTTACGCGGAACGATGAGCTTCCACCACGCCGTCTACGTCGACGACCACAACCGATGCCACGTTTGCGGATAGAAGCAGCCGGCCCGCGACCGGCATGCAACGCGCGCGAACACTTCTTGACCTGCGATTGGTCTGTCGTTGCAATTGTTTTCCAACGCAGCGGGGGGACGCACACACGTGAACGACACGTGCGTGCATCCCTCCGTCGCTATGGCAACTGAAGCCTCTCTCTTCGCTTCTCCCCGCTTCTTCGAGCAACCTCCTCGTCCCGCGAGTGCCGTTTGCATCTCGCGTCGTTATCTAGTGTCGCATAGGGAAGCGTGCTCGCTGCGTCGGTCGGCGCGGTCGGCGGGCTGTTCCAGAAACCACACTATAACCGGTATTTCCCTTCGTGCCTGCATTTTAAGCGGTATGTAATTACATGGAGTTCTATGGGAGGCGAACCGGTGGTTTAAAAAAGCCGCGTTATACCCAGTCCTGCACTATAAGCGGTTACGTTGCAAGTGGTCTATACTGTATATAGTACACAGATAAAACAAATTATACGAAAGACAATTTGAGAACAAGGAATAAAAAAGAACATTAAGTATTACAGTAAAACCTCGTTATAACAAAGTTGAAGGAGTGGTCGTAATTATTTTGTTATAACCATTAGTTTGTTATAGCCACTGTCCATTTCTTCCCACTATTAGCAAGCAAGGGGAATTATGATTGCTTTGTTATATCCATTAGTTTGTTATATCCAATTTTGTTATAATGAGGTTTTACTGTAGTATAACTATGCACGAGCTCTTGAAAGTTAGACATATCTAGTTCAGTTGCAATGCGAGGCGGTAGGTTGCTCCAGTCGATTATGGTCCGTGGTATGAATGATCGTGCGTAACTAGATGAGTGGCATGTGGTGCGCACTACTTTGAATGAATGATCGCGACGTGGAAAAATAATGGGTGGTGTTTTAAAAAAATCGTCGTGAAGCGATGCATGGTGATAGAGCTTGTGAAATAATGATTGGTAATTGCAGTGCCCAGGTCAACATTGGCGAAAATGGGGATAGTTAGCCATGGTGGAAGATAAGCAAAAGTTTCTGATAGGGGGGGGGACAGTCATCTATGCTTCATTGCCCCTCACTGAAACAGCAAGCTTAGCTTGTCACGTGATCTAGAAAGAGTTCAACTTTGGCTGGCTGCACACCGAAAGTTATCCCAGTACTCATTTTCACTCGGTTGGCTCTAAATTTCAGGTGAGCTAATTTCAGGTGAGCTATCTCTCGAGATGTTGTTGCGTGCATGAGTGAGAAGGAACGGTTCAGCATACATCTAGAAGAATTCTGTTCACTCTTACCCCGAATGTACGCGAGATAAGGGATGACATTGCAAGTCAGGCCCAAGCTCATGCCTGAACATTCGAGGTTGAATGTTCGAGATGCCCAGTGTAGTAGATGACTGCTGCCTTGCCGACTGACTCAGACTCTCCCGACGACGACGCACACTCTTGCCAACGCTCAACTCTGCTCTTCCGCCTCCTCCGATGTGCGCGACGCTCCGTAGTTATCTTCGTCTACACCATTTGGTTGTTTATTTTAGCGTAAGTTCGCCCCGTTAAACATTATTTCGGATCGTTATTCTTCGTCTCCTAGCCCTCATCCATGACATTTGTGGTGGAGGTGCAAGGTCCTTTCCTCAAACGTTCCCGACGATCGTTTGGACCAGATCCATTTCAAGCCTTGAAGAACTTCCTTCTGTGAAGTCACATGAAGCTCGAGCGAGCCGCCGCACCACAGACCAACCCCTGGAATATGGACTTTCGCCGGCCCAAGAAGAACGACGCTGCTGGCTCTGTCGTCGTTTTTGCACCCCGGGTGCCCACTTCCTTCCACGGAGACGAAGGCATCAAGGACTGGATCGACCAGTATGAGTGAGTGGCACAATGGGTGGGGTGGACGCCCAAGCCTTTGGAGCATCCGCTTTACCCCAAAGACATCACTGGTTCGAGAATCATAAAACCTCGACTACGTCATGAGACCAGCTGAAAGAAGAGCTTTGACGGATGTTCGCCGGTTAGCACTGACGAGAGAGAGCCAAAGACCTCCTTCGAACTCAAGGCCCCAACGAAAGCATCACCAGCTACGTCCAAGATGTCCTACGCCTTAGTACGTAGGACGGCTCGGGCTTTGTAAGAAAGGAAGCTGAATGACCTCGTGTGCAACGTAAAGGAGAACGTCTTGGAGGCCTTGTGCCCAAACTAGCTGCAATCATCGAGGCTATAGTGACGAAGGCGTCGAACATCGAACGTGCCCTCCTTACGAGAACCAGTCACTACCAGTGATTTCCCAGTGTCACTGGCCCCATGCTGTCCATGTGCGACATTAATTGGCACTAGTATTCTGGGCATCCGCAAGATTATCCGCTACGTTGTCCGTGAAGACCTCAAGAAGCTGCTTCCTACTGCCAAACGCCCGGCTTTGCTCTCAATTACTGAGGTCGTATGAGAAGCACGTCGAGCCTTCCAGACACAGGCTCCAGTCGACGTGAAAGCCCCTGAGGAACCGACACCAACCTACGCCGCAATGGCCTGACGACCGCCGCCAGCTGCTCGACGTTACCCGGTGGTGCCACGACGAGACTCACCAATGCAGCCGTACCCCCGACGAACAACTCCGTCTGCCGAAAACGACCGGCGCCGAGGAAAACTGACATATGGACGACGGCGGATCGACGACTTGCCTGCTATTGTTGCGGTAAAGTGAACCACGGCTATTGACCATGCCCTTTCCGTTAGCCGGGCCTGCGAGGGTTTGTGCCCAATGACTCTCGACCACGTCTTGGAGAGCGACCTCGGGACGTCGAGGACTACCTACGTCACTCGACATCTGAGCTGTCTCCCCGCCGAAGATATCGTTCGCCTTCTCCTTGACGCCCATCATCACTCTTGCAGCGCTCCCGCCGGGAGGGACTGTCGCCTTTCCCTCCTCATCAAGAAAACTAAGGGCGGCAACTCCTGGTATTGCCGTAGACGGAAGCAGCAAGTATCCTCCAAAAACGTCCGAGGGCTCCCAGACTGAAGACAATGTTGAATGATCTTGACATTGCCAATGACGATGGCACTGATCAACACCGGACTATTTTTATTCCCGGCTAAAAATTGCCATTAGATCCCATTTAAATTCCAATTGGTTCTAACTGGAACCAATTAGTTCTAATGGGTTCCAACTGGAAGCACGCTGGCCAATGTGTCTCACCAATTGGAAATATTTTTCCACGTCGAACCTAAATGGGTTCCATGGTTCCCATTGGCAGTGACCAATTCGTTGTCTGAAAACTTAACCGGTACCCATTGGGAGAATTCCAACTGGAACCTAATGAGAATTTTTAACTGGGTTGATTTATTCAGTTACCTACATCGCCCAGGGCATTATTGTAAGGGGGCGGGGTCAAATTTGGGAGTTTTACGTGCCAAACCAACGACGGGCATCTGGCCCGTCCCAGCGGAGGAATGAGGAATAATTTGGACCACCTGGGGATCTTTTGACGTGCAACCGAAAGCTCAATTACACGGCGCCTTTTCCGCAATAAGCCTCTGTCAGATTGCGGGCAACTCGGCCGGGATTCGAACCCGCCACATGGGGATCCGTAGGCCGGCGCTCTCGCCTCGGAGCAACCGAGGCGCCGGGGGGGGGGTGACAAAATAAACATATATAATAAAGTTACACAAAAAAAATGTGCACATGATTCAGAAAAAGTTCCAATCACATCAGGAATGAAAATAGTGACATAATAGGAAATTTGCAATAAAATAAAAACAGCCAATCGGCAAACAGGCCAGCAATCAAATTCACGACACTAAGCCAAACAAGAAGCCCTGCAAAACCAAGGAAAAAGGGACAAAACTGACGAGCAGACAATTTCATCTGGGAGGCTCTTCCACTCCTTTACAGCTCTCCGAAAAATCTCCATTTATTAGTGATGGCCCAAACTTTTGCTGAATCGAAAGTTTGCGCCAAATCTTAGGGTTCGGCAAAGCCAAACTTTTGCCAAACTTTTCTAAAGATTTGGCAAAGATTCACCAAAAATACATTGATACCAGACTTAATGTTGATATTTAGTTCTTTCTGGCAAAAAAAGGCTTTATGTTTTTTTTTTGTTTTTTTTGAACTTAAAGGGGTATGAAAACGAAAATTTAAATTTCGTTCAGAAATGAGTTAAGCATGACGGATAATAACCGTAAATGATAAACACACGTTTGTATTTTGAACTACTGGCTATATTTTTCGTTCCAAACAGTGCACTCGAGCAAGCGCTCGAAGAGAAGCGAACAGAGAGTGCGATGCGTCATGGGATATCTGGCGCAAACAAATACAGAAAAAAAAAAAGATTCCCCGCATTTGCAACACGGCAACACTGGCGCGGTTGTGAGCTTTGTCATTGGTGGCATTGTCAACATTGTGATGATGTCAATAGCGCCAACATGTTACAACCGAGCCATTCGAGGTGCCCGTGGGGTGACGAGCGTGTGGTTGTGAACGGGGTGGGGAAAGCAATTTTTGTCCGAGTTTTGAGCAACAAGCTAATCTTCTAGGAGGAGAATGGCTGTGTCCGGATACACAAATGAGGGTCCGAAAAAGAGGGGAGTCTGTCCTTTCCGTCATCTTGAACTGTTTGGTACAATGTGTGATTTGTGAGCTGAGGAGGAAAGCTAAGAAGGAAAATGTTGAAATGCCAAAGAGCGGCGCTGCTCCGATAGAACTTGCTATGTCCTGACCACGTAGCAAGTTCCCCAACGTTGCTAGATTACCTCCCAAATAGGCTCACATGCATCCACGACATTGAAAGACTGTTTAATTAGCTTTAAAATTAGTTTTCTTGTGCCTTTCATCGAAAGACTGGTAATTTTGAGGTTATGCTGCAACATGCAACACATTAAAGCTAAAAAAAATGAGCGCTAGAATTTCGTTTCTCTACCCCTTTAAATGCAACATGTAATGCATCATATTGTTACAGTTATTACTAAATAACGTGATATTCTACAAGATAATTGTATCGTGCTGTTTTTGTGTGTTTACTGGCAATTTTAGTGACTCCTTGCAGAAGTGGCGTGAAAACGAGGTTAGGTAGAAGTTATAAGAAACTTGCTGAAATTTTCTATGAGAAAATGGGACCCGTTCTTGGTAACAGACGCCATAGACCTCGACATATTTGAGGGATTCGTTGGCTTTCCCTGTCGAAAATTCCCATTTCCATCTGTGCCAAGCTGTGAAATCTCGGCGCCTGGTCGCAAACACCAGTTAGGACTTGTGAGAAAAAGTGGGGTAGACTCACTGTTTGGCATGACAGGATCGTCCAGCATCATGAAGGCGTCCCTGATGTCCTGCCAGCCTTCCGGAAGGGGGACCTCGTACCCTGAGGGGAAGACGCCAGTGTTCAGAACCTTCTCACACTGTCGCAAGAGGCTTCCTTCCCTGCCATCGCAACAAGTTCAAAGGGACTCCCTTGTATTTGAATTGGGCAGAATTACACGCGCTTTTATTTTGCTGAAACATCCGGGGCACTGGACGAGCCTCCGAGCCGGCCGAGTGAGATTGAGCATCCCCGCTAACAACCTCACATGCACGGTAGCAGGCCGGTCTACCTTCAAATATTAAATCGTGATTAGGACGCTCCAACTTATTAGGTAAAAGAAAAGCAGTCACTCTTAAGGACATTCAAGCTTTCGCAGTTTCCCCAAATTTAAAATTCTCTTAAGTTTCCCTCTAAGAAATGTGCTCATTTATGAGGAATGTAAATAACGACACGAATTAAGACTAATGTGCAAAGCCAGGATTAAGCTGCGAATGCACTCGGCCTGAAAAAATAAAAAGAGTGCATCGTTCTGGTGGGCAGAAATACAGTAAAACCTCGTTAATTCAACCCCTGCTAATTCGGAAATTCGGATAATTTGAACTGCCGATCCGGTCCCGTCAAACGTGTGTATTAGTCAATGGCAGCAAACACTCATTAATTCGGAGGGAACGTGGCGCGCTACGGTTAGTTCGGACGAATTCGGCAGGTGGCGCAAGCTACCGTCCGTTCCAAAGGGTATGACCGCTATCCATCTGGTGCATAAGTGGTTCTTCCGGTTTTCCCATGGTTCTTCGCTCTTCTGGTTCTCCGTGTTTCACACCAGTTTTGTTCCGGATTGCCGTGCATTAGCGCGCTACTCTCCTGGCATGGAAACGGCAGAAGCATAGCTGCGGAAAAAGAGTAGCACAAGTGACCAACGACCGGAGCGGCAAAATAAAATATGAATGTTAGGAAGTGAGCCAAGCATTTTCTTTTTCATCGCTACCATTTCGTCCTGGGTCACACAAATGCCACGCACGTTCACACTGTAAAAAAAGTGTTAATCCTAAAGGATCCAGGTGTTTTTCAGCCAATCCGGAAGCCTTACATAGCCCCCATTAGCACTTTCTCAGGAGAGCGAATGTAGAGAATTGCCTGCCAGTCGTACGAGCAGCTCTTCTTGCACCCTCGCCATTGGCACAGAAGACATTCAATGCTAGAGAGTTCATGTCCAAATAGAAAGAAAATAGTGACAGCTAGACAGGCCCACCTTCCCAACGGTCTTGCCAGTGGTGCCCACAGCTACCAATGCAAAAGGTGTGTAAAGGTACACTGAGAGAACATCAAAATGCAGGTTCTCTTGCCATATTACTCATTGTATCACTGCTGTCATCGGCATTACTGCTCGTAGTCCCCCGTTCCGCGATTGTGTAACCATGTTACAATTCCTGCCCAATCTCAAGAATATTGTGCGTCCCGTGTCGTAACTATTGCATACTGTCAACCTCAGATCTAGCATTCTCATCAGTCTCTTGCCCTCTGTTAGTATGTCAAATCTGCTATGCAGTTTTGATTTATGTCTGGTGGGCTCTGTGGGTCACAATTATTTCGTAGCGTCGTAATTAGCGACATAAAAAAAACCGTACGTATTCATCCACCTTACACTTTCTAAGAACTTTCGCTCTATTTATGATTTCTGCTTTTAAATGCTCATTTAAAAATATTGATTTAGTATTTGCTCGTTTCTTTTATGGCCCGCGGTGCCTCTCAGACAAGACATTAGGAGAGCCTTGCTCTAGGTCGCAGGTTCTCAAATTCGGTTTCCTCGAGTCATCAACGCTGTCCTTTTCGGTATTGCCGGAGTTGAAACATGGCCGAGTTGTGCATTCATGCCAAGAGCCAGTTGAAAGGTGAGCACGATTAAAGGGTCACTCAACCATTAAAAAACATTCCTTCAGGAATAAAACACCCTCCAAAAAATTACTTTTACCGCAACATCTATGTCGCGAGACACGTTTGGAGACAATTCCAAACCTATTTCTAGATGTCGATCCCGAAATAGAGGTACCATGGTGAGTCGGTCAAATGACAGTTACTTTGACACGCGATTGAGGAACTTGCAAAAGGGCCAAAGTCAAACTTGGTGGTTTTACGCGCCAAACAAACACCGGCATCTGGTACACCCCAGCGGAGAGCTGAGGATTTATTTCCACCACCCGAGGACCTCTTGGTGCGCAACCGAAAGCTCGGTTACACGGCACTATTTCCGCAGCTTGCAAAGGGCAGTGGCGTAGGCAGAGGGGGAGTTCGGGGGTCAACCCCCCCCCCCCCCCGGCATTGGGCCCACTCACTACCCTGCTTACGCAGTCGGTCTTGCATGGGGCACGAAGCAAAAAGGGGAGTGCGGACTAGCTCCAACCCATATGCCTTTGGGAGGAATGTTTGTTGGGTAGAAAATGCTCAAATAAATAAAATAGTCAATATTCTTCCTTCATGCTTACTTGATGGGATGCGGAACTTGATCTCAGATATATAGTGAATGGATATTTTGAAAGATTTGTGGGGTGAAGGATGGCAATTTCAAGGCAAAGTATAACAAACTATTTTCACTGAAATACATAGTTAAATCAAACTAAAGTGGACATAACAAAATGCACACATGGTGATAATATAAAACAATGTCAGTGATGTAAGGAATATTAAATGAATTGCAAAAACAACTGCGCTGTAAGCAATGGATGGCGCTGCGCTTACGCACACCTTGTGTACTGATCAGAATTACGCGCTTTCGACTAGAAATTGCCGCAAATAAGTAACCATGATAGTTATTTCGGAAAGCGATTTACAGCCTCTCTTGGTCATTTCGTTTACGCCAAGGACCTACATTTTAAAATGCAACCGCCTGCGTTCACAGCAAATAATATCCAGGATGTCCACCGCTTGAACTTCAATGTCGCGGTGAACATTCAAAAGCACTAGACTGAGCAGTCGCTCGTTCAAAGTGCATGCAACCGTCGTAGTGAAGAGAACGAGTGCTCAGCTTCCGCCGTTGTTAGACGCATAGTCGCTAGGATCCTGAGGAGACGATAGATGTTTGGGAATAGGGCCTCCGAACAGAAGGGCGACCGCCCGTAAATTCCTATTCCAGTAAATAAAGCCTAATAATTCCAGTAAATAAAGCCAGTAAATAAAAAATAACAATGCAGCTTTGACCGTTTTATCCTAACAGAGCCTCCGTAATCTTGGCGTGAGCATCCATACTGCCGAGCTCACCCTGCTTGGTCATTGAAGGAAGGGGGGGGGGGGGGGGGGGGATTCATACCATTGGACCACTTCCAAAATAAAATCCTGCCACTGGCAAAGGGGCAGTCAAGCAACCCGTAAGCATGTGGATGCTGCAAAAGGAGCGAGGTTCTTTGGATGTCTTTTGGCTAAGGGCTCAAACTGGCCATTGGAGGATCTCTGCTCTAGCTTTTCTATTATGCGAGAATATTTTAATGAATAGACTAGACAGACTTTTCTACTGCCACATGAACGGTCCAAGCATGTCCCTCAGTACAAGACACAAAGATCATCTCATAGAACAGAGTTTGCGAACGGTTACCTGGGGTAAATGGCGCATCCGGTGGAGTCCTCTCGTAGGCTTGCGACGTCGTCTCACCATCTGGAAGCAGAGCACCAAACACTTGAACGAGGCGGTTTCAGAGCCGCTTACAAAGGGGCCGCTTCAAAATCAAGGCCCCTGAGCCCGTTTGATCAAAATGGCCGAAAAGTGACCCGGAAGCTATGTTCAGCTGCAGCACCGCACTCTCTGCGAGGGTCTCTTGGGGAACCCGGCTTTTTTCCTGCCCCAATAAATGCCCAAGTGTCGCCCAAAAACCACTTCCCAATTCAAAGAAAGGCTGGAACAAGTTGTTGAGAGAGCGTCTGTTGCATGGATCCCTAGCAAAAAGCAGGTAATAACAGTAGCAGCAGCGACTTCCACCCAGGTTTTGACAGTAAATTCTTGACAATACCAGACTAGTGGCATCCAATGCCACCAAAGGGTACTCTACCAGCTTCAAAGCACTGCTGTCCACAAACTGTTGACAAGATACCTTCAGTAGGAGTCACGCAGCCAGTTTGGTACGAGGGCAAAAGCTTTGCTTGGCCACTTGACTCCAAACTCGCCATCGCGAGCAGTTTAAAAAAAAAAACAATTTCTTGTAACCTGAATTGCGTTATGCCTCTAGTTGATCACTGTATGTAAGCACCAGTCATTTATTACTTTAACCAAACAAATCAGCTTTTCTCTCGTTTCCTTCAAATAGAAAGAATAAAAAGACAAAAGACTTTCGCAGGCAGTCACATTCTTTCAAATAGTATAGACGAATGTTCATCTCCGGGCGGAAAAAATTCACACATTGACCAGAACGGGGGAGGGCTAAAGGAGAGGACACAATCGGAAGCACCGGTGAGGATTGAGTCACCCAACCGTGACTGCCCAAGTTTAGAATTTTTCTTTTTCCAGTTCTGGCCAAATAAATTATATTTTGCATCTTGTCAGGGCTAACGACGCAGATGAGACATGCAATCTCTCCGATTTCACATCCGGTGATTGCATAGGTACGGGTCTGGCACCAGTATTAACTGAAATCTGTCCTACGTAGACCGGGTCCCTGAAGCAAACCTAAAGACCCCCAGTGTAAAGTCTTCCGCTACGTAGACCATGTTACGTTTCTTCGTTAAGAGGATTAAATGTAGCGAGTTCGTCGAAGAAGGAAGGGTTTATGTACAATATTTACATGTTCGTTCCAGTTGCTGACGGAGTCACCATCGATTCCTCCGTTCTCGTCGTCTATATATATCTTTTGTTTCTCGTTACATCTTCTTCTTCTTTTTGCAATAATTGTTCAACAAACTCCCCCGAAAATGAGCACAAGCTCATTCTTACAGTTCCAGGGGATATAATAACTGCATCGGCTGGCAAAGTTCACGACCACTGAGTGTAATTATTCTGCAAGACCGCACCTTGCCGTCCCTTCCTGGGAATGTCTCGTTGACCCTGCAGAGTTTCCACATGTGTCGCGGTAGTCTATTGTCCTTGAGAAGGACCAGGTCACCGGTTTGTACACAGCTTGAATTGCTGGGTTTAGCGATGTGGGCTGACCTCAGTTCTAGTAAATATTCTGATCTCCATCTTCTGCAAAATTGATTCATAACTGTGTTTCGATATTTCCAACCTCGCGCCAAGTTTTCGGGGCTTGCTTGATCTTCTTCTGGCATTTGATGGGAGGGAAGGCTGGTCAATTTGTGTCCCACCAGAAAGTGTGCTGGGGTGAGAGCCTCTCGTTCTTTTGCATCGGTGGAAATGAAAGTCACCGGACGGGAGTTGACTACGGCTTCTACCTCCGTGAGGACAGTTGTCAGTTCTTCGAAATTCAGACTACTGCGGCCTAGAACCTTACGCAGCGAAACCTTGACTGACCTCACTAGTCTCTCCCAAAACCCACCCCACCAGGCAGCTCTCGCTACGATCGTTTTCCATCTAATTCTATGGTTTGCAAAGTATGTTTGCACTTCCTCCCCTTCTATCGATTCAAACAATCTCTGGATGTCTTTGGCTGCTCTTTTGAACGTTGAGGCATTGTCGGAATAAATCGTTTTCGGGATACCTCTGCGTGCCACGAATCGTGTGAATGCTAATAAAAATGCTGTTGTTGTTAGGTCACTTACCAGTTCGAGGTGCACAGCACGTGTCACGGCACAGGTAAACAGGACGATGTAAACCTTGTAGCTTCCGCAGTCACGTCGACAGATAAGCGGCCCAGCAAAATCCACCCCTGTTTTTTCAAACGGTTCGCACCTTAATACTCGGTCTGCCGGTAGTGAAGCTACAGGCTCGGAGGCTGGTGCACAAGTTTGCCTTTGGCAAGTTATACAGCGACGTATGACCTTTCTTACGGCTTGCCTTCCCCTTAGAACCCAATAAGTTTCACGTATTTGCGTCAACGTGTCTTGAACTCCGGCGTGCAGTAGTCGACGATGTTCTTCAGCGATGAGAAGGAAGGTGAATCGGTGGTCTGCAGGTAAAATAATTGGATGTTTCACTTCTTCTTCGTTGTCGCTAAATTGCAATCGGCCACCAACTCTTACGATCCCATCACAGTCTATATTTGGGTTAAGCATCTTGAGTTTTGAAGTCTTCTGAACTTGTCGTTGATCTCGCAAGAGTTTGATTTCCATTGAAAAGGACTCATTCTGTGTTGTTTTTATCCAGAATTTTTCAGCTTCTATAATTTCCTCGCTCGTTAGGAGACCACTTCGTTGGCCTTGTTGTTTTACGTTGTTTGTACACCGTTTTATCCACGCCGTCACCCGAATCAACTTAATAAATGAACTGTAGTTTTCCAAGCTCACCAGTTGATTATCTTGCGGTACTGTGAGTTGTATAATAGTCTCTTTCTTTTCTTCCGCGAGGTATTCATTGCCTTCTGGTTTACCCTGAATTTGACTCGGCCATGATGTTTCGGAGCGATGCAACCAGATGGGTCCATTCCACCTTGTCTTGCTCTGTACTAGAGACTTTGGCATAAGTCCCCGTGTTAGGAGGTCTGCTGGATTTTCTGTACCAGGGCAATGCCTCCAGTTCCTTGGTTCCGTCAGAGCTTGGATTTCCGTGACTCGATTTGCTACGAATAGCTTCCACCGGGTTGTTGAACCACGAATCCAATACAGGACAATCGTAGAGTCCGTCCACAGATATATTGAAAGTCCTTCTAGCTTCAACTTGCTTGTGAGGAACGGCATCAGTCGAGCGCCTATTAATGCCCCCATGAGCTCTAGTCGCGGAAGAGTCAACCGTTTGAGGGGTGCCAATCTCGATTTTGCCATTACTAGAGCCACCCTCTTCCCATTTTGTTCTTTTGATGTCAGGTATGCTACAGCTCCGTATGCTCTTGTACTTGCATCGCAGAAGACATGTAACGCGTTTTCTGTTTCGTCCTTGGAGAAGTCGAGAGCAATGAGTCTTGGGACCGCGATGTTTTTTAGTGCAGTGAGGTCTTTACACCATGCGTCCCACTCTTCGTAAAGGTCAGCAGGTAATGTCTCATCCCAATCAACTCCTCGCTGCCATAGCTGCTGAAACAGAATTTTTACAGTGATTATTGCAGGAGCCAGTAGTCCCATTGGATCGAAAATGCGAGATGACGCTTGCAACACAAAGCGTTTGCTGTCCTCTCTTGAGCACAGAAAGTTGATGAGAGAAGTGAGATCGACTTTGATCATGTCCGTCCGTGTTTCCAAACCAACACCTAAAACTTTCGTTGGACCAACCAGTTCGATTAGTTCCTCTTGGGCGGAACTTTCTTTCGTCAATTCCTCTAATAATATTGGACTATTTGACTTCCACTTCCGAAGCTTCATTCCTGCCCTCTGCATTATTTCCCTTGCTTCTCTGCAGAGGACTTCTGCTTCTTTCAAATTTTCCGCGCCCGTTATCAGGTCATCAACATATAGGTGGTCCTTTAAAATCTTCGTGGTTTGAGGAAATTCTTCTTCCATTAGGTCTAAATGGTGTCTCAGCGTGGCCGCGAGGAGAAACGGACTTGATGTTGCTCCAAAGGGACCTCTGGTCATTCTCCACGTTACTACTTGCGGTAGTTGATGTCCTTGTTTGGGTGTGCTGTCATACCACAAGAAACGTAATGCGTCTCTGTCTTGCTCCGCCAAGGTGACTTGCAAAAATGCCTTCTCGATGTCAGCTGTTACTGCGATGTTGTGTGTACGAAACGCGATCAGTAGATCGATCAAGTCAGGGTTTAAGTTTGTTCCGCTGGACAAGACGTCGTTCAGAGAAAGTTCCCCAGCGGTGCTAGAAGACGCGTCAAATACAACCCGTAACTTTGTTGTTTGTCGGTCTTGTCGCACAACCGCTTGATGTGGCATGTAATATACGGGATTTCCGGCTTCCTTTGTATTTACGACCTTTTCTGCGAAGCCATTTACCAAGTATTCCCGAATGGTGGTGTCGTAGTCCATCATAAACGCTCTGTTTTTCATGAGGCGTGCGGTTAACGACCTAAGTCTTCTTTTTGCATTATCCTTGTTGTCGTTCAGCTCTTCAACTTGATCATTCCATGGCAGAGAAACTTCATAACGTCCTTCTTTATATTTTACTTTGCTCTCAAATTCTTCGAACAGTAGATTTCCTTTGGTCGGCGACTCTTTTGCAGTTATCCCAATGTGTTCTAGTTCCCAGAATGACCGCAGCTGTGCAGATATGTCAGTTATGTTAGCTGTAGTCACTTTCAATACTCCTGTAATCGATGAGTATATAGCAGTAGACGAAGTTGAGGGCACGGGACCTTGTAGAGTCCAGCCAATGATAGTGTCGACGGCCATCAGCCCTTTTTCCAAACGCTTTACACTTCCACTTACTACTTCCCAGTAATAGTCAGCTCCGATTAGAAGGCTGATGCCTTTCTCACATTCGTTGTTGCTGAAAGTGCTATCCGCAATGAGCATGTCTTCAGGTATGCTCAGCGCTACCTCTGGTGGTGCGGCAATGATGTCGGCACAAATCTGTGGGACCTCTAAAGGTTCAATGCGTACGTCTTTTCTGCTGTATTGATTGCGCAGCCATAGTTCAACTCTTCGACACGTTCTTGGAGCAGTTGCTGC